GACTCCCAAAGCACAGCTAATAATCCCCAAAATAGACAAGTAGGATTACATCAGACTAAGAAATATCTGCATGGCAAAATGCACAGTAATTAGTGTGAATCGACAGACCTCAGAATGGGAAAATATTTTTGTAAACTATGCATCAGATAAGGGATTGATAACCGGAATATATAAGGAACTAAAAAGCTGTTTGGAAAAATGATGAACCCTACTCAAAGATGGGAGAAGCAGTTGAAAACAACACTCACTAAAGATGACATATGAATAGCCAGAAGGCATATGAAAAAATGCTCAACATCCCTCATTGTAAGGGAAATGCAGATCAAAACAACAATGAGATACCACCTAACTCCAGTGAGAATATCTAAGATTAATAAAAAAAAAAAAAAAAAAGGGTAGGAGGGGGGGGGGGGAAAGGGAAAATTCTCTTATCTTACACTGCTGGTGGGAATGTAAATTAGTCCAACCACTGTGGAGAATCATTTGAAGATTCCTTAAAAATCTACAAATAGAACAGTCATATGATTCAGTAATCCCATTTCTTGGCATCTACCCAAAGTGCAGAAGAATTTCTCATTGGAAAAGTGCTTCACATTGATGTTTATTACGGCACTTTTCACGATTGCTAAGACATGGAACAAACCCAAATGCCCCCCCCCCCCAAGTATGGCTGAATGGATTGAAAAACTGTGGCACATATACTCTACGGAATACTATTCAGCCATTAAGAACAACAAAACCCTGGCTTTTGACAGAAAGTGGAAGAATATGGAAGATTTACTGCTGAGTGAAGCAAGCCAGGCTATGAAGGAGAGTTACTGTATGTCCCCACTTAATATATACCGAATGTCTGCACTCTGTAAATGAAACGGATGTGCTAAAGGATGTACAAACACAAGAGGTAGATGTGAATGCCAGATGTGGTGTGTGTGGAGGAGTGGGTTCTGGGGAAAAACATTCGAAGGAGGGATACGAAGACAACATTGTTGAGACAGGGAGGTAGTATCATTATATTTTGATCAACTCGACCAGGAGAAATGTTCACATATTGAAATGATCACCTTGTAAGCTAAATAATGTGATTGAATGTATTAAAAAATGTAAATAAAAAAAGATAAGTGCTTGAGGGGATATGGTGAAAGGAAAACACTCCTACGTTGTTGGTGGGAATGTAAATTGATCCAGCCAGCCACTGTGGAGAACAACATGGTGATTGTTCAAATACCTTCAAATAGAACTACCATATGATCCAGCAATTCCACTCCTGGGTATCTACCCAAAGGACAGGAGAATGCTCATTTGGAAAAGTGTTTGCACAACTAAACTGCAGCATTATTCATGATTGCTAAGACATGGAACCAACACAAATGTCCACAAACAGATGAATGGATTGAAAAAGTGTGGCATATATACTCCAAGGAATATTTATTATTCAGCCATAAAAAACAAGGCCTTGGAATTTGATAGAAAGTGGACAAATATGGAAGATCTGTTGCTGAGTAAAGCAAGTGAGGCTATGAAAGAAAGACATTGTATGTCTCCACTTAACATATACCAACTGTCCATACTCTAACAAAGAGACTGAAAGTCTGGAGGACAAAAAAATCATTAAAAATTGTCATGGACACTAGAGACAAATTGGAAGGAAAGCATGGGAGGAGAAGAGCATAGAAAAGGAAATTTGGGGAAAAAATAAGTAAGACATTTGTAGAACAGAGATATGGTTTATTACCTGTTGATGAGGATATGTATAGTATTCTCAACTGGACTGAACTGAGGTGTATATCATGCTGGGTAAAGTCTCTTTAAAATCTAAATGATGTATAGCGAGTGAATGTATAAAAATAATAAATAATTCTAATAAAAAACTGTAAGTACTAAAAAAAAAAGAAAACTTATGATTTATTTACAGAGATATGGTTTATTACCTGTTGATGAGGATATGTATAGTATTCTCAACTGGACTGAACTGAGGTGTATATCATGCTGGGTAAAGTCTCTTTAAAATCTAAATGATGTATATCGAGTGAATGTATAATAATAATAAATAATTATAATAAAAAACTGTAGGTACTAAAAAAAAAGAAAACTTATGATTTATTTTATTTCAGGCAATTTTATGTGTTAAGAATCTCAGATAAGTTTCTTTCTCAAAATAGTTATCTAATTTGCCTACTTGCTTTCATTTTTGTTTTATGATAGTGGCTATCCGAATCAAAGAACTTTGCTTTGGGGGGGGAGGGGGGGACACATACATTATCTACATATAGGATTGAAGTCACAATTGGTCTTTTTCTCTTAAAGTCATTTTATTCTTATTTTATTCCTAATGTTTAGGGTTTACAAATAATTGGATTGTCTAAATTTACTCAACTCCAATTGTTTGCATTCTATTTATTTCATTTCATTTATGTTCTCAAATTAGCCAATTCCAGCTCAAGGTTATGCTTATTTTTAAGACTTTTCTAAAAAATGGCAGATCTTAGCTAACTCTACTCTCTAAACACACTGTTGGCTTTATCCACTACTTCCTCTGACCCATTATCTCAGTAGACCCTCAGTCTGCCTTCTAAATAGGCAACTCTCTTACAAAATACATTCTCAATGCCTTACATGATTTTTCATGACTCTGGTCTTCTATCAGTTTCCTCACTGCTTGAAAATATCATATATCTGAGTATTTTGTTATAATACCTGATTACTCTGAGATAAATCCATGTAGAATAGTTCAAACAGAGCCGAATTTCATTCTTGCTTACACAAATGATTTATGGATACTTCAATTTGGAGGTGATTGAGAAGGTTCCTTTTAATTTTTTCATAAGCTCATTCATCATAAACATATAGCTTACCAATCCCTTTAGCATAGCATCTGCAACGTAGGTGGGGGAATGGTATAGAGGGTCACATATTAGGTATTGTTATTAGCCATGTCTGGACATGGTGCACATTGTTTCTACATTCATTCTATTAGCAGTAAGTAAAAGTACACAGCCCACCTAACAGTTTAGAAAAGATGGAAAGCATGGTCTACTACGTTTTGAGGGATAAAAGCCATGTTTGCTTAAAAAAAAAAAAAAAGTCAGCTAGACTATAAAAGTAAACATCCTCAAAAACTTTGGTTTTTATGGAGACAAATTATAGAATAATCATGTTTCAGAAAAGGAAAACTTTATAAGAAAGCATAAATATAAATATAACTGAGGAATAAATTATAAAACAAATTGAAACCCTCAGGTTTGGTGCAGATTCTTCTTTTAGTTGGATTTATAATTTGTTTTGTCCTTAAACCTTTGAAAGGAATGTGACTTTTTTAATTAAATCATTAATAGCTTGCTTTACTTGCTTGTTTCTTAGGGTGTAAATAAATGGATTCAACATCGGTGAAATTGAAGTAATAAGAAGTGAAATTCCTTTATTAGTAGCCACTTCATCATTGGTTGACGGTTTGACATAAATGAAGATGCAACTGCCATATGTAATGGAAACAACGATCATGTGGGAGGAACAAGTGGAAAAGGCTTTTTTCCTTTGCTGGGCAGAGGGGAATCTCAGAATAGTCCGGATGATATAAATGTAGGAGAGAACTACACAAATGAGGGTGATGATAAAGGTCAACACGGCACACGCTATCACCATCTGTTCTATCAACCATGTGTCTGAGCAAGAGATCTTCAGCATAGGAGTTGCATCACAACAAAAATGATCAATGATGTTTGAGTCACAGAATTCCAGGCCTAAGCCCAGGCCTATTGGTGGGAGAATGATGACCAGAGCTGTTACCCAACAGAAGAGAATGAAGTTCTTGCAGACTCTGCTGTTCATGATGGTCATATAATGCAGTGGTTTACAGATGGCCACATAGCGATCGTAGGACATGATGGCCAGGAGAAAAAATTCTGTTACTGCAAAGAGGTCTATAAACAGCAGCTGACTGACACAAGCACCATAGGTAATGGACTTGTCCCCAGATGACAGGCTGTATAAGAATCTGGGAACACAGGCAGTTGTGAATAAAATTTCTAAAAAGGAAAAATTTTGGAGGAAAAGATACATGGGTGTTTTAAGCTGAGAGTCAGTGAGAGTGAGGGCAATGATTGTTAGGTTCCCAGATGCACTCAAAATATAAGAAAGAAACAGAAAAATAAAAAGTAGAACTTGTAGCCTCGTGTCATCTGTTAGTCCCAGCAAGATGAAGGACGTAATTGCTGTTTGGTTTCTCATCTTTAGGTAGTGTCTCTTGTCCAATCTGCTTGAAACAGTAAGAAAAAGACTGTATTGGAAAAGATTCAGGTTTCTAACTAGCTTCTGACCTCAAGAGAAATAAACTTGAGAGTGATTCTTATACAATTGATTATTGAACAAGCCATCACAGAACACATGTCAATGTTTGGTCACTTTCTCTTTGTATCACAAATTCATATTAAATCTCAAGCCTCATCTTGCCGCTTCTCATGAATTATTAATTTAGCCAGTGTCGCTTCAACTCTCTGACAAACATATTGGAATAAAATTCCCCCCCAAAAAAAAAAGTTGTTTTAAATCAATCATTTTCACTGACTTACTTTCTTCTCCCTAGTCAGACTTTCGTAGCAAAGTTCCAAAATAAAACAACTATGGTGTTGGTTAGGAAAATGCCGACACTAAAGCTCATGTGTGTATTGGTTATTAAGGTAACAATGAATAATCGTCCTGTAGTTGTTGTCCTGCCTCTCTGAGGTATGTTTAAATCATTTTTGTTGCATATATCTTCTTAAAGATTCATTTACATGTGTTAAGCCTCAATTTTATTTTTAAAGAGATTTTTGAGTGCAGGGTGCATGCACTTGCCAGAGAGACAGAGAGACAGGAAGTGAGAAATCACTCCAAGGAGCGATGGGTACACCACAAACCCACCTCCATTCTACTGTCGGGATTTTTGACACCCATGCACACCTGCCAAGCATCAATTTTAGGTGTCCAGGTCATAGATTCAAACCAGAATCTACCACGTGGAAATACAGCAATGTAACCATTATGCCGTCTACTGATCCCAAGCCCAAAATTGTTGCTTTTGCCATAGAAAATTGATAAATGTATATCTAAAATTTCCCTTGGCTATATTTTCCTCCCAATGTTAAATAGAATGTCTATGTTATATATTCTGTGCATCCTTAGATATTTTTGAACTAAGATTATTTTCTAGGTAACAAATAGAAGTTGGAATTGAATCACCTGGTTAATGACTTTCCTTTTAGATTCTTTTAGCCATAAAAACTCTAGTGTTTTCCAAGTAGCCATTACCATTTTATATTCCCTAAATCTTAAAGAATAGCTTTTTGTTTATTTTTATTGTTTGCTTGCTTGTCTTTTTTTTTTTAATTCACTACAGTGTGTGTGTGCTCATGAGAAGAAAAAGTGAGAAATCCCCCCTTCCATTGGACATGATCATACCACAATCTCTTCCCTTCCATTTCTCTCTGCTTTTTGGATTCTGGGCATGCACACGCATCTGGCATGTTTTTCAAGCTATTGGATCCAGTATCTCAAAATACAGTCAGGCATGTGGCTGGCACATTAAAGAAAGAGTTTGAGTATTAAAATTTAAAAATTTGGTTCCCTATTTTTAAACACATTTGAAAGTGACATATTTGTATTCCTTATGTGTATTCCATAGTGATAGTTTATATTCAGAGTTTATTATAAAGAAATAGGGCATTAGCTACGTATTTTTTGCTTACAGACCTGAAGAGACAAGACCCAAATTTTTCTGTTTTTGATCAGTTTCACTCATTTTGAAATACACTCTGTCACCTTTGTTAACACCAGCTTTAACAAAGCTAAGGCCTATCTGCCTTTATTTCTTCCTTTCTTGATACATGAATCTGTTTGTAATGACTTTTTGAAGACAGAAACTCAAGTTATTTTACAAATGGACAAACGAGATGTATAAAAGTGAATTAATTTTTTTTCTCAGAATTAGGAACTGAGAGAAAATTTCTAATATACTTTCACTTTTTACTTTTTTTCATATAAATCAATTCATTTTAAAAATGTCTACACTTTTTAATTTACCACTTGTACATCATCTGATTCTAGGACCATTTCAACTACCCTCGCCAAAGTCATCATTAGCTTCCTTCTTGCTTTACTTGTTAAAACAACTTTCAGGGACCAGCAGTTAGCATAATGAGAGACAGGAAGTGAGAAATCACTCCAAGGAGCGATGGGTACACCACAAACCCACCTCCATTCTACTGTCGGGATTTTTGACACCCATGCACACCTGCCAAGCATCAATTTTAGGTGTCCAGGTCATAGATTCAAACCAGAATCTACCACGTGGAAATACAGCAATGTAACCATTATGCCGTCTACTGATCCCAAGCCCAAAATTGTTGCTTTTGCCATAGAAAATTGATAAATGTATATCTAAAATTTCCCTTGGCTATATTTTCCTCCCAATGTTAAATAGAATGTCTATGTTATATATTCTGTGCATCCTTAGATATTTTTGAACTAAGATTATTTTCTAGGTAACAAATAGAAGTTGGAATTGAATCACCTGGTTAATGACTTTCCTTTTAGATTCTTTTAGCCATAAAAACTCTAGTGTTTTCCAAGTAGCCATTACCATTTTATATTCCCTAAATCTTAAAGAATAGCTTTTTGTTTATTTTTATTGTTTGCTTGCTTGTCTTTTTTTTTTTAATTCACTACAGTGTGTGTGTGCTCATGAGAAGAAAAAGTGAGAAATCCCCCCTTCCATTGGACATGATCATACCACAATCTCTTCCCTTCCATTTCTCTCTGCTTTTTGGATTCTGGGCATGCACACGCATCTGGCATGTTTTTCAAGCTATTGGATCCAGTATCTCAAAATACAGTCAGGCATGTGGCTGGCACATTAAAGAAAGAGTTTGAGTATTAAAATTTAAAAATTTGGTTCCCTATTTTTAAACACATTTGAAAGTGACATATTTGTATTCCTTATGTGTATTCCATAGTGATAGTTTATATTCAGAGTTTATTATAAAGAAATAGGGCATTAGCTACGTATTTTTTGCTTACAGACCTGAAGAGACAAGACCCAAATTTTTCTGTTTTTGATCAGTTTCACTCATTTTGAAATACACTCTGTCACCTTTGTTAACACCAGCTTTAACAAAGCTAAGGCCTATCTGCCTTTATTTCTTCCTTTCTTGATACATGAATCTGTTTGTAATGACTTTTTGAAGACAGAAACTCAAGTTATTTTACAAATGGACAAACGAGATGTATAAAAGTGAATTAATTTTTTTTCTCAGAATTAGGAACTGAGAGAAAATTTCTAATATACTTTCACTTTTTACTTTTTTTCATATAAATCAATTCATTTTAAAAATGTCTACACTTTTTAATTTACCACTTGTACATCATCTGATTCTAGGACCATTTCAACTACCCTCGCCAAAGTCATCATTAGCTTCCTTCTTGCTTTACTTGTTAAAACAACTTTCAGGGACCAGCAGTTAGCATAATGGCTATGTCAATGAACTCCCATGTAGCCGACTGTGGTTCAAGTCCCAGACCCGATGGCTTAAACTCATGCCGGGCGCATGTGCTTGTGTGCCCAAGTTCCTGAGAGGAGAATGGAGGAGAAGGGATTGCTCTCTCTCTCTCTCTCTCTCTCTCTCTCTTTCTGGCAAGCACACACGCCCTATAGCAGAAACCTCTCAAATAATAAACTTTCAGGCTTCACTTATTTCAGTTTCTCTACTGGTTGTGAAACTGTGAATAGTTAACTTCCTGAACCTCTTTAAAGCTTAACCATCTTACATTTCGCTAAATTTTTACTGACCACTATTCTTTTCTGTTCTCCTTCATGGCTCTGTTTCCTTTCTAATCTGTGTGGTTGATGGTGCTCCTGAAATCTCTTTTCTAGGCAATCCATTTGTTTTGTTTTGTTTTGTTTTGTTTCTTCACTTAGTTCTCTATCTTTAGGAAAGGCTTAAATAAGGTGATTTGAAATGGGCTGATGGTTCAAAATGTGTACCTTTAGAGAAAGTATGAATACTTTACTGAATTAAACAATTCACTTACTCTTGGACATCTAGATCATATCACAGGGTCTGAATTTAGGCTTTTTCTTTTTCCTATCCAGATGACTTCAAATAATTTGTTTGATTTCTTTATCTTGTGTCTTTTATGTGTAAAAATTCAGCTAAAAATAGTATGAAAAATTTCTATTACACTGGTTTAGATAATACTGATAAAATAATACAACCGCATCTAGAGCACAGCAAACACCTTATATTTTCTACACTGAACTTTTTATCTTATGTTAAAAATCACTACTGAGACTCTTTCAGGGGTTCACTTTTCAAGATTTTAACTATAACATGCATTATTCAGGTTTTACTTCCAGTTCATTCTGAATTTCCATAAGAAAAGTTTTACTTCTGTTCAAGTCCATTTGCATTTAATCACCAGACCTTGTCTCTCTGTTGTCTTAATATCTTACTAGTTTATTTATTTTTTCTTATTTACAAAGCTAATCTTACAGTGGGTATCTTTATCAAACAGCTGAAATATTACAAGAGTATGTTAATAGTGGCTTAACATCTTTGGTTCTCCTATTCAATCTTTAAAATCAATTCAATCAGAATCAATTTTCCAAACCTCAAATATGATTAATTCTGCTCATTTGTGTCATAAAAATATTATAGCTCTATCTTTTCCTTACACTAAGGTGTTTTTAAATAATTATCATACTTTGATCTATGGCTTTAATTAATTACTTAAGTATTTGAATATTTGAATATTTAAATATAATTAGCATAATTTGATACTTTTAAATTAGTTAAAATATAATCTAATTCTTTTAATATAATTTATGTTTTTTAAATTATTACTGTCCTTAGATAAACATTAATAAGTGAACATATACACATACAATTGGGTGGGGTTTTTGTATAATGAAACAAATATCTTTTTAATTATCATGCTTTCCATACGTATAAGGTATTTCCTTGTAAATCATGATTAACCTCTCTTTTAAGCAGAAGTTCATTCATTTTGGATTTAGGTAGTAACTGTGATTTCAAAGACCATATTTGTATATTTTGAGTTTCAAATGCTTCAAGCTCTGATATTTATGAAATATATTCAGCAAGGAATATTTTTATTCAGGGAAATGAGCAAGAACAAGGTTTCTCATCCTCAGAGCAGTAATGAAATATCTTAATGGAGAATAAGAGATTAGTAAATCACTT